GTGGTGATAGTCGGACAGGACGACTTAAAAGGTAACCTGTGACAATCAACGAAAACATAGAAATATTGGGGGTGATAGTCGGGCAGGACGACTATAAAGGGAGCCTGTGTTCAGAGTTTAAGAATGCAAGTGAATGTAGTATAAATAGACAATGCGTTCTTTGTTGCTTGTATGTCGATTGGATGCCCTGGCCAGGCGTCTGCCCCGACGTACCGGTGATAAAGCGTATTGCGGGCGTGGTATACAGATTGTGTAACAGAAGTATAGATCTATCAAATGACGAATGGCAAAGCACAGCACATCTTTTCACATTAATGCTGACTAAATGATTATCTTGAACTTGACATCAGATCCTCAACAATAAATATGTTTGAAACAGTACACTGCCGCTAAGTTCCGTTTCTAGGTCAGGGCCAAGGAATTCCCGAGGACGGGAATATACAGGATGGCCGAAATGTTATGAAGAGCGGGAAAGACAGACCGAGCGACGGTGGCTGGAACGCCAAGGCCAGTGTGCGTGTCCCGAAACGCTGAATAGACTGATTGTTCATAATTTTATAAACATTTTTATATAAACAAGGTAGTTGGATACAGGAATAGAAACGAAGGATAAGTTAGTTAGAATTAGAGAGTTGAATAACGAACAATAATAATTGAGAATGTACATTTTACTGTGATTAAAGGAAATTATTGGCAATAATTATTTTTTGTTTATAACAATAATATCTAAACATCATATTTACAATATAAAGTCATTTTTATACTTATATATACCAGTTTTACAACAGAAAATATTTTTAAATGTGCTGTAAGTTTCATAGTTTATAATTTTTTGCCCTGCATATACTTGTAGACATATCCCTGTTTAAATATTTTAATGAAAAAAAATCCTTAATCTAACATATAATGATATTAAAAAGTCTTTTGTAAAATTCTGGCATGGATAAGTATTCCAAGTTATAATCCAACAACTGATTTTTTATTTTATAGACGACGTAGTCACAGAGTAAGTTAGTCTTATTGTTTTATCTTTTGTTCTATCATAAATTATAAAAGCAAAATGTTTTTCTCAGAAATTTATAAGCCTGTGGACTTAAAAAGTACACGTCAAAGCAAACTGTTTAAATTTATTGGAATATCGAACACCTTTTACTTTTTTTCTGTTCATATCTAAATTTGCTGACATAAAATTTGTTACCGAGTCTGAGAAATGGTCTTTACAGTAACGTAAAATACTGTCTCACTAATTTTTGAAGCAGGTACTATTTCTGAAGATTTCTGTTTGAATTGTCTCTTCAAGGTGTTCATTTTTTATTGTAATTCACATTTTCGTAGAGAATCGGCTGTCAATCTTGTTGAAGTTTGAGTAGCAACCTCTGTAAAAACCAAAATAATAATTATTCACTCAGATTTATAAAGAGGCGACTGATAGAAAAACAAAACATCAACCATTACGAGTTTAAAGATTATGCAACACCCATAATTTATCAAAAATATACCTAATAATTAAAGAAAGAGGGAATTAGCAAACATCTCCATAGTAAATATCTTACATAATAAATAATAGATAACCAAATTAATGAATTTCCAATTATTGGGTTACAGTCACTTTTGATGCCAACTAACTTGTTTGGTAATTTATACCACAAAATTAAATACCTATTGAAAATAAGTAGTCTAGGTTTACAAAGGACCACTCTATCTTTCTACGAATACATACCAAATGCATCTCCAGAAATAGACTTTTTCGCAAATAAATTAACAGCCGTTTGTGAAGTACTTGGGATGGACAAGATGTCTTAATATTGTGACGTGCTTGGAATCGACAAAATGTTACCTATAAAATAAGTGCATAATTTTTCAGAGCTTGGTATTTTATTCATTAAAAAAAATGGTTTAATATTTTTAAACAAATTATTTTCAATTATTTCGATAGGGTAAGCGTATACCTATATGAATCTCATTATTCACCTAGACTAAGTATTCGAAGGTTATCAATGAAAAAGATAAATAATAATAGTCTAAACACAATTTATAAAAAAATACATACTAGGAGTAACATGGGCCATATCTTGTATTAAGGGTGTCTCAACCGTCTCACCTTCATAATTGCTATTGAATCTGAGTATCTTGTGTCTCTGATTCNCGAAGGTTATCAATGAAAAAGATAAATAATAATAGTCTAAACACAATTTATAAAAAAATACATACTAGGAGTAACATGGGCCATATCTTGTATTAAGGGTGTCTCAACCGTCTCACCTTCATAATTGCTATTGAATCTGAGTATCTTGTGTCTCTGATTCTATGTAACCTGGAATATATGAAATGAATTAATTTTATATTATAATCTGCTCTATTTAAAAATATTACTACTTATGTACCAATATTTTAAAAATGCCTATCTACTTAATTTCTACATAAATCTTGTGTATTGGCTACAAACTACTGAAAATATTTTCAAATAAAGCTCTCCTAATAAATTAGATGCTCAATAAACAGTAAAATTTTGATTCAAACATATAGGTAATACACACAGGACTTCTGGTTATCGATATGAAAATGAAAGTCTACATATTTCAATTACTCTGTTATAAAAAGTAAAAAACAGATAGTACCTAATGATTTCCTAATAATATTTAAAGATTAAAATAACGAGCATTCAAATAAAAATGAACTCAAGTTGGTTCTGAAAATTTGGATCTAGGGAGTAGCGTAGCGACCAACTAACCTCATCTACATACAAATTTTCAGAGCCAAATTAACTTCGTTTTTATTTGAACGCTCATTAGTCTTTAAATATATGTTCACAATAATGTACACATTCCTGTGAAATATATTTTACCTTTAACAGAACTTGATTTTGTTTGTGGTTCTCTCGTTTCGGGTTTTTCAGAAATCTGATTCAAATTAAATAATGTGGGCACTGCTTGCTTCTTAAGTCTGCTTTTTGGAAATCCTGCCAACATTTTGTTTTCAAAATGCAAACTACACATTCGGTAGTTCCGGTGTAAATGTTGTGGTGAAAATTTCTGCAGATCACGACGTCCACAATTTTTTACCCATGTCATACACCTAAAACATTTTATTTTTATAACATAACTACTAAATAAAGGTTTGGACAATTTTGAATTAGCTTTTCGATTACTTATTAACAGTTTCTTTTAAATTAGTTTCAACTTACCTTTCTGGGTCAGCCGGAAAAGAAGCTTAATTGGAAATTTTCTTCCGTGTTATTGAAACAATTACGAACACAACAATAAATTGGCGATATTTCCAAATCAATTTTTTACAAAAGAAAACGGTAAGGAACAATAAACACACCACACCTCACGAGAGTAAACAACACTCTGCCTGCACAAGCACATTCATTTAATTTAATCTGAGGGCTGGAAAAAATTTTGGGGTAAAATATCTCTTTCCCACAAACAAGCAGGTGATAATTTAAATTATTTTCATGAACAACCCAATTATCTCCAATAATCATTACTGTTTACCTGTTTCCAATTATTAGAAAAAAGTTAGATTACAGAATATTATTTACAAGTGTCATTAGTGTCAGAAAGTTCGCGCACGGAATTTATACCCACAGTGCGCATGTAAGACAAAAAATGAAACATTGTCAACGAACATCAAAGGATGCCGACACAAGTGAGACATCTGGTTTGAATTAATCTGGGGTACTAATTTGTTATAAAACGTTGTACTAACTACCGCACTTTTCCCTCGAAATGTACTTACATTTTATAATAAAAATGTATGTATGTAAGTACTAAGTACATGGTTATAAACAGTACTAGTTACTACCGCACTTTTTTCTTCAAAGTGTACTTACATTTTGTACCAAAAATGTATGTAAGTACTAAGTAGTAAGTACGTAGTTGTACTACCGCACTTTTTCTTCGAAGTGTACCTTGGTACTTACTACTTACATTTTGTACCAAAAATGTATGTATATATAAATACTTTTAAACAGTTGCACACCACACTTTTTCCAAAATGCAACGAAATCTGATACAATTGTGCCACCTTCGACTATACTGTAGAGAGAAGGGTCGCTCATGAATAGAACGAACGCATTAAACGAGCTCTACTAGCACTGCACTTCACTGCACTGGTGTAAGGGAGCCTCACCCGTCGCCCTGGACGAGGCACCTTGTTAATCTCACTCGGTAGCCCCTATGGTAGGTGGAAACCCGCCGGCTGGAGCTACACTCTCAAGCTGCATCTAAGGAGTTCATCATATCTGCGGTCGAGATTCCAGTAGTAACACGTAAGTGGCTCCATCTTCACGGAGCCATTCAAATTACTCGAAATTCATAAACGTTTAAACGTACTATATAAATAAACATTTGAAAATATCGAAAACAGATCTACATAGGATAATTGGACCGAACATGATCTATTAGGTCAACTGTTTAGATGTACTATGGTGGTAACTAATGAATAATCTGTGATAATTTAATATTCAGATGATTTTTGTAAATTATATTCTGATAAATTAATTTTTTGTATTTTCCATTAATTAGATATTGATAGACGCATAGGATATACCAGAAGAGTGAGTATTGGAATGTATACGACTGAATAAAAACTGCTATTACATTTAATAAATGTATCGAAGTTAAAAAAAAATGCGAAACTTGTTTCAAATCGTTAATATCTCTTTAAGTTAATTATCTAGTTTACATAAGTGTATTTTTAAACTTTCTCTCTCTACCGTGGCTGCGGCTATAGTACTTTAAACAATAAATTAAGGCAATTTCCCCTTCGTAATATAACTTGTACGATATTTACGATCGATTTCAAATAACATTAAGACTGTCGTTCTATAGACAAGAAATCGCACTTTTAGTAAGACAATGATAGAACAAGTAGATTCATCCAGGAAGTGACGAAGCGTTATGCTAAATAAAGCAACCTCGATTAATTTTTCGCATTGAAACATCACAGAGAACATATAAACATCAAAAAATGTACCTTTCCTGTTTTGTCCAACAAATTTGTAGAGATAGGTAGTCAATAATTCTTACAATTAGTAATGTATGTGTTAATAGTTTGTTAAAAGCATTCTGCGGGGTGTTTATTTATGGTTTACGGCTGGTATATAGTATCGTACGCGATTTACTGTATGTATGTTTAACATCCGTGCAAAATTCAGGATACGTAAGATATGAGGTAAAAATATGCTTTTTTCCTTACTTGTATTGTCAATTGTCTTATACCCTAAAGAAAACTTATACAGAGTGTTTCGCATAAGGACCAATACAGAGCAGGGGCATGTAGGGGAACCCAACTTACCTTTGTGTATACTAAGCTGCACCCCCGAGAAGTTATACGTCTTGAAAGTGAGGTTTCAAATTTCGAAAAAAAATCGTCTCAGTTATATTTGAACTTAGAAATACCATATTTGGTACACGGTGTAAGTGTACCAAGAACAATAATCGACAGTAAGTAGAGTTCAATTGAAGTATTTTAAAGGGTTCATAAGGGACGCTACACCATTAAAATATGACAGAATTTTTAATCTGTTGTCGGACTTCAAAAATTATTACTTTATTTTATGGTGAATTTAATTCTAAAACTTTTCTTACTCTTGTTAGTTTTCAAAAAACTTTGTCGTTTTGAGTAAAAACACGAATAACTAATAATACGTATTATAGCTGTGTGGCTATGAATTAAACGTCAATCTTGACGATTAGGAACAAAGTTGGAATAAGAATAATTGAACAGAAAAATAAACGACTTAAATCAAATACTAATAGCATGCCAATTTGTTCGCTAAATGACAACTTCCCGACCATTTTCAAAACACTCAGCAAACAATTACGAAAATTAAATGACTTTTTTGCACATATGTACATACCTATATGTAAATGACCCCCTTAACAAATTTCTCAAATAAGAGAGATTGATCTACACATCTAGATTATGTTATCTCATCCAATACTTATTTGATTTGTTCGTATCCACGATTCCATTAATTTTACTTCACTTTTGCGCATGCTAAAAATTTTCGATGTCCAAAGTTCCGCTGTTCCCTAAGTTTATCTATGTAAGTAAAAGCGTGTGACTGTGTACATAAAACATACCTACACATTACCTATATTTTTCAAGTTAGTGACTTTTCATGAACCCCCGTCATGACTGCACGATGTGTCACATTACTTGGTTACACAATTACACAATTAGTCACTGGTCAGATCTGGTTTTTACTCCTATATTCATAGAAGTAATAAATAATACTAAAATTAAAAACTTCACTTCAATATGGGTTTAGATATAGGAGAGGATTACTAAACCAGAAATGTGTTTTCTTGCTTGAAGCAACCACCCGGATTGTTTGGTATCCGTGCCTCCCAAACCCACAAAATAATAATTGTAGGTGAACACGATGATCATCGACGACTTCTGCGGTAATATAAAATTACCACAAGAAATATCTGCCTCGCGTTCAGGACCACGAGACTATGTCTCTTTATCATGGTGGCAAACATCTCTACGTTTGAGAGAATACAGGAAGACCCATGATAATGATACTTTAGTTTTAGTATCATGATAAATGACCAACGGAAATAATTACGTAGCCTTATACCAAGAAGTCTTACTCTAAATTCTAGTCACATGCTGTCGGCGATTTACTGCAACTAATCCTCGTGTTAAAATGAGATGAAGTATTATTTGGTGGTACTGACATCTAGCGAGTCTACCCTAAACTGCGAGAGAAATGCCGCTACCTACTCTTGTGTGAAAACTTCACAAAATTTAGCAGCACGTAATAGCCGGTATACAGAATCAAAAAATTCATGAAGATATTCATTAATTTATGGATAATATTAAGACAGGGACTTTTGCCACCACGGAAGGGGATGGTAACACCAATATTTTTTTATAAGATATTTATTAACAAATAACTATTTTAAAATTTAATGAAACGTATTTTAGATGTTGCAAGTTTTATTAGTTTAGTAGCAACATAAACGCATTTTTAATTTGAAAATCGAAGTCAAATAAAGTATCAAATCTTATGCGTTCCCTAGTTAATTAAGCAAATCTCACCTATTCTTTGCGTAATCGAAGGTTGGTGGAGACGGTCATTAGTCAACTGGAACAATTTTCTCAAATTTTTACTTCATTATGCAGTTGTGACAGTTTTTATTCAGTCATAGCCATTACAATACTCACTGTTCTAGTGTATCATATCCCTTTATTATTATTATCTAATCAATGGAAAATATAAAATATTAATTTAACAGAATATTATTTACAAAAAGGATCTGAATATTAATTTATACATATAAATACATTAGTTACCAACATAGTACATCTACAAGTCAAGAGTTACTTTTTCTATCCAAAATTGAGATAGTAGTAAGATTTTTTCAGGTGGGATGACTACCACATAAATAAAACGTACTTAGAATTTTAGTAGGTAGTTTTCATAAAAAATTAATAACTGCTAATTATTGTCCTATATAGATCTATTTTCGATATTTTCAAATTTTATTGATATAGTATATTAGTATATAATACTATTAAGTATATTATAGTATACAAGGTGTAACCTAAGTATACGTTAAAATAGTTAAGTGGGGTATTTCTGTGTTAATTGTAAAAAAAGTTTATATAAACCTGTGTTCGAAAATGCTTCGTTTCTGAAATACAGGGTGTTGAAATTAAAGTAAAACAAAATCATCATTACAACAGCTGCTGAAAGTGGCTACCCCCGACATTAATACAAGCTTCTGCCTTCTGCTTTCTGTTGGAAAATGCCAGAAAAATAAAATAAATTAATAATAAATATATTTCTCAACTACTTCATTTAACGCCTAAGGGACTCAGCAAATTGCATCTTTGCAGAAATTTGCAAATTTCTCGAATACTGTGGCTTCTAGCGTTGTTAAGGAAGTGCCATTTTGCTTAAAAAAGTGTAGAGATATTAATTCACAAAAAATCGCATAAGTCTTATGTCAAAAAAGTTATGGCAAATTAACAATGCTCTAAGTACTGCACAATAATTAATAATACCAAATTATGATTTCTCTCCACAAAAAACCCCCGGTTGCCAAATTTTATGCGAAAAATAAAATTTTAATTTCTACACTGTGTATCTCAGAAGCGAAGCATTCCCGGACAAAGGTTTATATACACTTTCTTCTTAGAATTAACTCAGGAATATCCCCACTTAAATATTTTAACGTACTTAGGTTACACCCTATATAGTATATTAATTTCGAGTAATTTGAATAAGTCCTGAAGGTGGCGCCACTTACGTGTTACTTGTGTAATCTCGACAGCGAATGGTTAAGGACCCACTAGACTCTACAGAAGAGCGTACTCTGAAAAAAGGGCCCTAGCCGGCGTGACCTATCTAAGACAGGGTCTCGCGAACTGATCGGACTTCGTCCGCTTCAGCGGACCCGGTCTGGGAAGACGGGAAAAGGGCCTGTATCATGAAGACATGAAGCAGGTGAAGAGCGTTAATTTCGCTCGACCCCGCTCCGTCCGAGGTCATAAATCCTACCAAGGAT